AATACTTTTAGAAATTGGAAAGGGTAAGGACAAGCCATACAAATTAGTATAAATTATTATCTGAGTTATTAAGTTATAACTTGAAAAAGACTATACTGTACTTTATTTTCCCCACTACAGCCACTGTTGTCATCATTATCGGCATCTTCATCATCCTCAACTTCTTCCTCCTCTTCCTCTTCTTCTTCATCTCCAGGTAATCGAACTGTACTATCATAACCATAAAGGCTGAGAAGTTCATGAATTGGCATGTCACCTTCCTAAGATCAAAAAGAGAAGTTTCTGAATCAGGGATAGCTCATACTCCTAGGTTATAAATCAAAAGTATATACAGAGTATTCATTCATTCTCAAGAATATTCTTAGAATTATTGTCAAAAATTCTAAAACTAAAAATTTCTAAAAACTGGAAAAATAACCAGTCTTTAAAATATTTACTATATTAATCATTTCTGTGATAAATGATTGGTCAATTCTAATCACCAACCAAAAAAACCATCAAGTAAAATAAAAAGTGACACTGGTTTAAAATTCTTTTGTGTAGTTTATTCAAATTATGACACATTAGTTAACAATAGGGATAGATGTTGCCACTTAAAGGAGAATGAAATTCATAGCTCAGCCTAGTAGAGTAAAATGATATACAAAGTCATACTGCATTTACCCATCTATTTTTGTCCTAGAAATATTTCCAATTACAAATAAAATCTACCTCATGAAATCCTTAATTTCTACTTATAGAATATCTCTATAGAAAAGAAAACTGAAGTTGCTCCAATTAAGCAAGTCCTTCAAAAACCACAAGGTCCTTGGATGCTGCCTCAGCCAGAGACAGCACTCTTCATTCATGTTTCTAATATTAAAAAAAACCCTTATGATAGAAAAAAAGAAAACACAGAGTATGTTATCTATTTCTCCTGATTAAGTCAGTCTTGTAATTTCTAAGTAAAATATACTGCTACAATGAATATGAGTATAACAAGTTGGATGATATACCCTGAAGATATAGCTAGACTCTTAATTCCTTATAAAATTAATAACCACCTCACTGAAAATGCATGTGCAAAAAAGGCAATGAATCCACAATCTGCAAAGTCATAATTTCACAGCTAAGCTACAACTTTAAAATGAATGACCAGCTAGCATTCCTGAATGGCACCTCCTATCTTGTGGTTCTCAGAGTAACATAAGAGTTTAAGGTGTCAAGACTCTGATCCATGCACTTGGTTTAACAAACATAAATTTAGAAATGAGAAGTCCTTAGGAATTAAACCAGAACGTCTAATCAAGTAGAAGACAACAGTCAGAAAAGGCTAACTTTATATACTATGTTGTTATTGTTGACTGCCATTGAATGGAGCACGACTCACAGAGACCCTATGAACAAAAGGCCTGAAAGCCTTTCTATAATTAGCAGCATTTATCAAAGTTCATAGAGTTTCCAGAGGCATGTTGTTTAGGAAGTGGTTGCCATTCCTGCTTCCAGCTAAGGGTACCCACATTTATTTTTCAATTGAGTAGTTTTAGAATGCCAAAATGTTCATTAGGAAAAACGTATATCATCCCTTCCTGTTTGTTACTTTATAGTAATTATATTTATTCTAAAACTAAAATTATATCGTGTATGAAAAATTCACTGGATAGCAATTATCTTTAATGGTTCTATTCCTATCCCAAAGAAAGGTGACCCAACAGAATGTGGAAACTACAGAACAATCTCAATGATTTCACATGCAAGCAAGATTTTACTGAAGATTATCCAAAAACGACTGGGTCAGCACATCAACAGAGAACT